GGGCCTGTTAGCAACATACTCTGTTCCAAAGGCCAAAAAAGTTAAAAATATTTGGGAGTTTGTATCTAATCCTTAAAAGATTTTAGGGTTACCTCTTCAGTGGAGGGAATGTTAGAGTGCACCAAAGCCCCATAAACTAAATAAATGAAAGAAAAAAAAAGAAAAAAGAAAAAAAGTGATGGGGAGATACGGGAGGTGTTAGAGGGGAGGGAGTGGGCATGGATTTGATCAGAACACCTTGTATGCATGTGTGAAATTCTCAATAAAGTTTTTGTAAATTAAAAAAAATTAAAAGAAATATTTTTAGAATTCAAGCATCCAGAACTTTCTTGTAATTTGGTATGGCTTTGCTATATTTGTGAGGAACAGAATACAAGATGACACTACTTCTAGGAAATGATAAAAAACATGGAGAACTGCAGCAGATGGTGGTTAACACAGAGAACCACAACTGGCCAAGATGTAGAAAATAAGAGACTGCAAACTGCTTATCCCTGAATAGGACACTTATATCAAACTTCTGTCTCCCAAGGCTCAGGGGATCATTGCAGAGGAGGGGCTGGAAAGATTGTAAGAGCCAGAAGTGGTGGATGAGCACAAGGAAACAGAATTTTCTAGACAGCTGAGCAGTTACTCATATGAACTCAAGAGCAATGATGACAGCATGCACAAGTCTCACATAAACTCAAGCCAGACAAAATCCCACTATAGACATGGGAGAGTAGGTAAGAAAGTAGACTGGGATGGGGTGTCAGTCTTGTTTTAAGGTGTGACTCTTGGTAGGCTAACCAGGCCCCAGTGGATGGATCCACACTAAAGAGCATTTGGGGATACAAATTTGATTCTATATGCATAAATGCAAATATAAATATATTAGAGTACATAAAATTGGGTAGGAGGTAGGAAGGGGGTGCAGATAGGGGAGGGGATCTAAATACAATAAAAATAGGTTTTACGAAATTCACAAAAATTCTATAAAATTAAAAAAGCCCAAAACATAAAGACCTAGATAATTCATGTAATAATTAAACCAAAAAATGTAACTGTTTTCTAAAACAAAACAAAACAAGAAACTATGGAGAAGAGGGCTCCATGCTTAGGACTTTAGTGCTCAGTATAGCCTCATCCTAACTCCACACTTCCTATATGACTGAACGAGATGCCATTGGAATGGCTTATGTTCCTGTGGGGAGGGTTCTGCTGTCTTCTGAATCTCATCAAGGATTCAATATGTTCTGCCACAAATATATCCTGCACATTGCAAGACATTGTCTTTAATAGGTAGTGACACAGAAGGTTTCTGTGGTCACAGAGGTACCTTGAGTGACCTTGTGATAGGCACTGCTCAAAGCCCAGCACGATGTACAGGTTCATCTATTATTTCTTCAAAATTTACATAATTACTTCTGCTCCAGAATTTATATCTTTTTCATCTGTGCTCTAGAATTCATATCTTCTTAATCTGTTCTAGAATGCATACCTTATTCCATATCTGCTCTAGAGATTATTTCTTCTCATCTATGTGGTAGAACTCAGACTTTCATTTAACTGTATTCCAGAATTGATATCTTCCTCTACCTCTGTTCCAGAATTCATATCTCAACATGGGATTTGTGCCTTTCTCTTGCTTATGCCTGGCCTGGCTGGGTTTATGTTCCAGTAAACTTGATTGCTCTCCATCTCGTTGGCAATGCTGTGTAATCTTTCTTGTGCAGCATCTGTTCAGCAGGAAGACAGATAGGCATGACCCTCGCTTCCCAGTGGCCATAGAGAAGGTCTTTATAGCAGCCACTCAATCTGAATCAGTCAGTATCTACTATGTTAGAACTATACAACTCTTTATGTCAAGTTATTACTTTAACTTGAAGTACCAAAGTCCATTCCCTGATCCATAATTTGATTTTAGCCATGGCTTCCATGAATAGAGTTTGATGTCTAGAAATCTTTATTTTCCCGAAATTAACCACATGCATAAGACATTTATACTTCTTATTTTCTGGTTAGTTTTTTTGAGACAGGGTCTGGCTGATCTGGAACTTGTGACTTTCCTATCTCAGCCTCCCAAGTGCTATGATTACAAGTATATAGTACCATGTCTGGCTGCTTCCTAATTTTTGTGTAAAAATGGGGAAAAAGAACTTCAAGATATTGAGGTAAAGTGAGCTGAAGGCAACTTTCAAAAAATTTAATGATACTTAAATTTTTTTCACAAAATTTTCCCCATAGTTACTTCAATAAGCAAAATTTTTCTAGTGATTTGTTTTTACTAATTCTTTCTAAAACACTCAAATTCTAATTTTTCTAAGTATTTTGTTCAAGTTTCTTCAGGGTTTGTGCCATGAGAAGTGAGCAAGGGGAAGATACATTAGTATAAATGCTTTACTGGCCCTGATGTTCTCTTACCTTGGGAATCAGCTCCATGGGTTTGGTTATAAAAACTTCTTTTGTGAAGAAATGTGTCACAAATTTGGTTCTAGTGGGTGCAGAAGTGAGGAATTGGACAATCCCACTTACTTTGGAAGACTTAACCTGGACTTCATAGAGTGGATATCTGGCTGAGTTGACCTGAGTAGATAGCCTGGTATATGGGTCTCACATGGCTGTGATGGAGCTTCTAGAGCGAGCAAGAATGTAGGGCCTGAGAAGCCAGATGATGGTGTGAGATTTTACCTATGGAGTTGGGAGCACAAGAAAAGCCCAGCAAGGAGCACTGTGACCAGATTCTGTTTATATAATAGTTCCAGCATCAGACATAGGATCAGGGGGTGAAGTGATGGGGAGAGAGGCCATAAGACCCCAGGAGAACCAAAGAGATGACTGGAGTCTGGATCCTAACAATACTTAGGCTGGCAAGGAAAGGGTGATGAAAATAACTCTACACTGGCGACTGGGGCAGGATTAGGTCCCTTCCAGGCCCATAGCTTAGGAAGTAGGGCCAGTTTACTAGGAGAGGGCACAAGAGGGGAACTAGAGTCATGTGCTATTCTCAGGAATAGTCAAGAAGGAGCTGCTTTAAGCACTTTACTCACACCATGTTACCCAAGCCCCTACAAGATTTTAGGATTCTCTTGTCATAGGTAAGAGACTGAATCAGAGAATCAGAATCAGAGGCTGAGGAACTCCAAAATTACATGTCCAGTGAGAGATGGGCTAAGATTCATCCTACTTGCTCTAAGAAACGTGACAGCTTCCTGTATTATCTGGGATCAGGTTCATCTGGAAAGGGTTTCAGGAATATAGGCCTGGGGCAGGAGTCTAGAGGAGCTGAGGTAAGGCTGTGTAGTAGACAGTACCAGGGGAACGTCAGTGAGACAACTGAGCTTGGGGTGTGGAGCAAACAGTGGAGTGGAGGGGATGCACAGAAGTGAAGCCCCACAATGCCCCAAAGAAAATAAATTGTTAGCCATTGACCTTTTGCAGTTCAAAGAACTATGTCCCTTTTACAAATCTTAAACAACTTTATTCCTAATCCTGAGTTATGGGAGGACCCAGGATCATTTGGCCTAAAGAGAGCTCATCAAATACACGAGGAGATTAACTGGAAACACTTATGTTGGGGTGGCAAGCTCTATGGATACAGGGATCCCATCTTTCCATCTCAGATTCTTTCCTACCAGCAACTTGTTTTCAAGGAACTGTGAAACTGGAAACAGAATCTATAATGCACTTCAGTGAAGTCAATTTGAATCCAACTTTACGTGTGTGCAGAGGAAACCCTGCAGGTGCAAGGATTTAGGAAAGATCAAAGGAGCTTTAGCATAGCTGGGAAGGGCTTCCAAGTACAGTGAGCCATAGCAAGGCCCTTGTCTCTCAGATGAAGGGCTGGTGATTGTTATAGCCACTCTAATGTGCCTAAGCCTAGGCAACTCAGCCAGGCAGTGCTGGATTAGATAGAGAGCTTTAAAGTTTAGGGTCTGAAAGCATTCCCCATTTCAGTGATGATCAACGGCCTTCCTTTGGGAAGCTGACCTTATAAAACCTGCTAATGCTTCTGGGCATGAAGATCTAGGGCTTGTGCCTAGTTCCTCATTCATGTGAGAGTATTCCAGTTGGGACTCCTGGTATCCAGAACAGTGAGCCTTAGAGACTGGCAATGTTGTAGCAAGGCTGTCTCACAAGACCTTAGGTCACTTATGCAGTCTGGCCTACCTGGCAGCATCCATCCAGCGCTCTGTGTAAATATGCTTTAAGGGAAGTTCCAAGGCTGGATGGGACTGGCCTTCCTATCAGTGTAAAGGTACCTAGTCAAGCGACATCAGAGAACTCCAAAATCTATGTATCAGGTTCACTTCCAAGGTTTTTCTCCTTATTAATGACCCTCTTGGAGGTCTAAGGGAGCCTGATATGAATCAAATTGACATAGAAACCTAGAGTAATTGAGTTATAAGAAGTATTGTTGTGTATCATGGCTATGAAGCCTGATCATCAAGCTTTGATTTCAGTTGCCTTATTTCCTGGAGAGCATTAAGTAGGAGTAATTCACACAGTTTCATCTTAGGACTATAAACATCCAGGATTCCTGGGCACACAAGGTAGAAACTCACTTGCCCACAACAGATCAGACAATGATAAAAATATGATCTTTCCTTTGTTTGACTTCCTGAAAAGTCTCTAAAACTCGACCTAGGCTACATCACTGTGCTCTCTGCTGGTCACTGCTCTTATGCAGAATCTTCTCAGCCTTGTCCTGTGCCCTAGAAACTGGCCTGGCATAGAGAATCTAGAATAAGAGGAAGGTTGGAGACAAAGAAGAAATGTGTCTGTCTAAGGTCAAGGTAGAGATGTCAGGAAGGAAGCAACTGTGTTTACAGCTCGAGTCCTGGGGTGCCTGTAAGGAAATTACCTTATATGGTAATGGAAACCAAGGGGCGAGGTGGGAAAGAGGGTGGAGCCATCCAGGAACCTGAGACACTGGGGCATCAGATATTCTCCAGACATGGCCCACAAACCTCTGACATCAGGACCTCACCTCAGTGATGCTAGTTAAAATGCAGATTCATGTGCTTGTTTCAGAAGCACACATACTAAAACTGGAATGATACAGAGATTAACCTGGCCTCTGCACAAGGATGACATTCAAATTTGTGAAGCATTCCATATTAAAAAAATCATATTCATGGTTTTATGCTTTGGGAGTATAGAAGAGGAAGAAGTGACCAAAGTGGCTCAGACAAGAGGAGCCAGGGAGGAGACATCAGGAACACCAGGGACAATCATGGGTGCCTTGACATTGGTGGATGATCCCAGCTCCATGTTGCAGAAAGGCTATTCAGTTTGAGGACTGACTTGTGCCTCCTGTATTTTCTGACATGACTGTCAGGGATAACCTTGGCAAGGGCAAACTCAGAGGAATGATGTGAACGCAGGCCAGGTGAGTGGTCTATGAAGGATGTTCAAGGTGAGGTAACAGAAACCATATCTAGATGGCACCTTCATAGAGTGGGGTTGTAAGTGAAAGAAAGTGGGCGGCAACAGAGGAAACATCAGGAGCAGGAGATTTAGTCTAGGCCATGTTTTTAAGATGGAGATCATGTAAAAAAGTAAACATTGAAGCTGACTAGCTGATCAAAATTCTTTAGAAAAATGGAGTCCACACACAGCTGAAGCCTTAACTTTGCATAATATGTCCATGGCCATTTCAAGGTCACCCAGAACCCTCTTGAACACATCTAGGGCTGAAAAATCCATAACATCTTTCAACTAAGACCAGCCAGCCTTCTGAACAGTCCATGAGCCAAAATATCTTCCTGCATCATCTCTCCTTGATCCTTCTTTCCCTGAAGGTCTAGAACATTTGAAGGAGGGCTCCCCTCTACATTATGGCACTTCAAACTGTGTTCCCCTTGTTTCCTCTACTTTAACTTCTTCTTAGTGGACTTCTTCACTACTGGCCTTCTGCCTGCTCCTTGGGCCTCTGAGTTCATGGCACTCAGGCGAGGGAGCCAGAGTTTCCACAGACCTGAAGAAGACCACATGTTCTGGACTTGATATTCAGAGTTCGCTAATTCCGGAGGCATGTTGTTTTTGCTTCTGCATCTGGAATTTTTAGTGTTGGTTCTTATTTTACCACTATGAAATAAAAAGAAAATAGAAGAAAGAATAGCTTTTGCTATGAGAGTAGAGTTATATCATGGCAGTTCAGTGACTTTGTATTCATTAAAAATAAATCTTTTTTTTTCTTTGATTCTGGATGCACTAAGAGCAAATATTTTTTGTTGCTGTTTTTGTTTTTTGAGACAGGGTTTCACTATGTAGTTCTGGCTGGCCTGAAACTCATTATGTAGATCTGACTGGCCTCAAACTCACAGAGATCCACTTGCCTCTGCCTCCCAAGTGCTGAGATTAAAGGCATGCTCCACTACACCCAGCAAAGAACAAATCTTTCCAACTGGTTTACTTAGTTTTTTGGATTTATAAAAATATACCTATTACTGATATCTCTTGTTAACTAGAGTTTCTCTCTTAACAAAAGTTAAGATGATGGTGTTTGACTACTGCTTGATCCAGTACAAAACGTCATCAAGAAGTTGTCATGTAATGGGATTGTACCTTACCCTGACTATGAATTGTGTCAGTGTACACATGCTGGCCTAACAGCATGCACACCAAAATTCACAACTGTTGGTGAAGCATTGCCAGCAGGAAAAGCTGAATCCTAGGCATGTGTTTTGAAAGGTACCACAGAGTAAGTGATACAAATAACCCATAGACAGTCTGTTTCTTGAGTATATGGCTCATTTCCAGGTGTGAATCCCAGAAAAGTGACAAACTCATCTGGCTCAGCGTAAGCATTACCAGCCTAGTTTAAATCTGACTATGTAACAGATAAGCAATGGTGGAAAATCAGGTTGGAGGGAACAAGTATTACAGAAAGTGGTTGTTTAACTTAGTCTTCTACTTCCAAGTCTGCAAGGAAAACATGAAAGAAAAAATGATCTTTTTTTTTCAGTCCTCAATGCCATTTTCCAAATTTTGACCTGGGATCCCTCTCATGGGTCACGGGCCAATACTTAGGTCACCTGTCCACTGTTTGACTGTGGCAGGCCTCTCTTACTTTTGCCTGTCATACATCCTCATCAGGATGACACCTTGTTCATCTTTAGGGAACCATCTGTTTTTCATGTTTCCTTGGCCACCTGAGATTCACATCCCCCTAGCTGGGGTAACTAGTTCAGTGATTGGCATGTAGTCCTTATAGAGCCAGTGGAATTGGGTTCCTAGGTTAGACACATAACTATGCAGGGAAGTGGAACTCCCCCTTTCTTCCAGCTGTTGAGACCATTTCCTGAGGCTGACAGTGGGATGGTATGCACAGTTAAGCTGAGTGGGGCACAGAGACCATTGCCCACAGCTAGTAAACCTTGATTTTCAGTTACAAGTTGGTAAGTCTCATATTTGCAACTGGTTTAATTTGTATCAGCTGCCAGTATTCCATGATCACTGTTTGTATTGCATGCTTTTAGAGGACCCTACCACTTGCCTCTTAATTCACAGCTTCCCACTGGTCCTGCTCCCAGTAGCCGCTATGGCCCTTCTGATATTAATCTTGGTCTCACTCCAAGGCTTCTCAGGCTGTATCTAATTCTGGCTACTTTGAGTAACAACACTATCCAAGTTTGGCTGGTTGTTACCACTGTGTTGCCAGGGAACCATTGGACACAGAGTTCACAGCCTTGCTAAGTGAAGCTCATGTCTCTAAGAGCCAAAAGAAATTTAGTTTGATTTCCTAGCTCAATCAGTCACAGGGAGATAAATTCAGACCTCAGAAAAGGTAGCCCTGTTAAGCAATTTTTTTTCTAATATGTGGGCTGACTTCCTTGGTCTAGTATCCATATTTGTTTTGGTGTCTTCTGCCCCAGGCCATCTCCTGGAATAGTAAATTGAGGACAAGTGTCACTGCTGCATGGTGAACAGGCTGAGAACTTAGGAATCTTCCCTTCTGCCTACACCTCAGAGTCCTGCTTGAGTTCCTATAATTAGTCAGGGTTCTCTAGAGGAACAAAACTGACAGAATGTGTGTATGTGTATATGTAGAATTTATTAATTAGTTTAGTTTGAAAGAGTAAGGACAGATGACTCATACCTTAGAGGCTGAGAACCTGACAGTCCCTTGGTTCTTGAGAATGGATGAGTACCTCAGAGGCCAGAGTGGCCTCACAGTGACTGTCTCAGACTGGAGAGGCCCAGACCCTAAGTACCAGTAACATGGATGGGTATGGTCCCCACAGGGGATCATTTCTGTCTGTATACCCCATCAGTTCTCACACTCACCCTGAGATTTGTTCCTGAGGAGACTGGAGTCTCAGCTGCAGTACAGATGCCCTTTTGAGTTACTAATTTCTTCACTTTTAATTTCCTTTTATCTTTGCTACTTCCATGCCAAAGTAGTTATTTCTATCTACCACACACTCCAGTGTCTCAGGGTCTTTGCAAGGTCAGAACTCTTCATCTTAAAATTTCTGTTTGTGGGCTGGAGAGATGGCTCAGAAGTTAAGAGAACTAGCTACTCTTGAAGAGGACCTGGGTTTGAGTCTCAGCATCTACATGGTGGCTAACAACCATCTGTAACTCCAGTTCTAGGGGATCCAATTCCCTCTTTTGGCTTCTCTGGGCATTGCATGACAGTGAACTTACATACACGCAGGCAGTATACTCATAAACATAAAATAAAAATAATAAATAAAATATTTAAAAATTCTGTTTGTAAATCCCACAGTTTCTTCTATGTGTTCCTCCATAAAGGTAATGATGAAATTGCTCAAATAAGACTTTTTAAGGTAAAATAAACTTTTCTGAGAAATTAAGCATAACTTTGTGTCAACCAAGGATTCAAGAGAAAGGGCTGAATTATCATAGGAACTTTTATGAAATTTTAACTTTTCTTCCTCTAAGTCTGCTCCCTCTGCTTTGCAATCCTTGGAAACCAGCAGCTAGGAAGGCACTAGAGGGCTCATATGGGTTAAGCTCACAAGTCTTGTCCATAGGCAACTATCATCATCACTTTGTCTGTGTAGCTATTTCCTAGGAATCTCCACTTAGGACTTTCTTTTATTTGGCCTCCCTCAGAGCTTGCTCAGTATCAACAAAATTTTTCCCAACACAATTTGCTAAAAAAAAACCCAAAAAACCACCAGTGGTAAGAACTTAATATCACAGTTGCACAAGAAAAAAACAAAATGCTGACAAAAATAAATCAAACCAAACCAACCCCCTACAAACCTTCCAAACAAACAAAAAACAAAAGCATACGACAAAGGAAGCATGAGGATTGAGATAAGGGGGAAAAGTTCCAACATGTTCCCGGGAAAACAGAAGGTCATGTGCAAGAGTATGCATATGCCCAGGAAAGAACCTGTGGGGTCAGCCATAGCAGGAAGTGGATGATACTGCAAGATTGTAAACTGCCCAAAGGAGCATTAAAGAAAGAGCTGACACACTGAAGAAATGGCCAAGCCAGAATGCCTACTGGTCATGGCATTTAAGAAAATCTGTCAGTTAAGCAGCTATCAGGCTAGCAGAACAGAAACTTGTGACTACATGCAAAATAGACTTCATGGAATTAGTCCAGGAATGTCATCAAACTAACAACTAACAACAATAATAACAGAACAGTTCCAGGAGGCAGAGGAGCACTCTGATTTGCAAGATTGCAGCATTATATTATCTTAAATGCCCAGTTGGCAATGAGAATGATGGGCTATTTAAAAAAGAAAAAAGGAAACAATGCCACATTATTGATAAAACTTGTTAATAGAAACTTTTCCCAAGGTAAAAGATGTTGTACTTTGTAGATAAAAATATTAAATCAGTTATTATAAATACATACAAAAACTAATACAAATCAGATCTAAAAAGCAAAGTATAAGAAAGATATCAAACCAAACAAAATCAATAACCAGAAACTGTGAAATAGAATCCAAGAGAACTTTTGAAATTGAAAAATAAAATGATAGAAGTAGAAAAATTTAATAGTGCCTCAACAATAAATTTGAGTTGGCAGAAGAAATAAATAAGATAAATCAATCTTTATTGATTGACTGAATAACAGGAAAAGGAATAAAGAAAAATGAACAGAGCTTCATAAATCCATGAAACACCTTCAAA